AGATCCTACTCTTAACGCCCTAACCGCTGGACCACACTGGCTTTCCAAAGAGAGTTCCTGTTCCCAAACCTGTTTTCTGGTTTGCTGGTCATTTCGGTATTCTCCCACCCTGTTTTAAATTTATTTCGTGTGTGTGTGTGTTTTGTGTGCTTGCCTGGAAGTCATGGTTGACTTCTGGCGACCCCTACTGGGCGCTTGGACTTTTTGCAGGGAGGTGGCTTGCCATTGCCTGCCTCTGCGTCCCAGCCCTGGCATTCCTTGGAGGTCGCCCTTCCTACTACTTGCCAGGGTCGGGGCCCGGCTTAGCTTCCGAGATCTGACAAGATCGGGCTTGCCTGGGCGATCCAAGTCAAGGAGGTCAGTAAGTATTATTTAAAAAAACAAACAAACATATTTTGAAAAGCACCCCAAACACCCCATATCACAAAAAGCTGCTCCAGCTAAATTTCTACCCTACAGTTAGTGGCTCTCCGAGTGGACAGAGCACACAGCCTTACAGGCATTACCACTGAGTTAAAAAAAAAACAGGCACTCATTCGAGTAGAGATTACAATGTAAAATTGCTGAACCTGAGTTCATTCATAAATTCAGAACCCCGGCGCCAGTGTTCCCTCTAATACTTTTTTCTAATACCTACTGAGTGGAGCAGTTCACATCCTGGGCAGAATAGTCTTTTCTGCTTAAGACTACGGTAGTCTTAAAATGGACAACGGGCGCTGCAAGACCCTGCGCGGCTCCAGATCGCTACTGAGCAGGGCTTCCGGTGTTAATGAGCGGCCACTCATGTGCACAGGGACAGAAGAGTCTTATCTCACTGCTAATGCTAATTTTCTGACCCCGAGCATTTCCCCTCTGCTCTAATCAAGCTGATTACAATAGAAAAAGAGGGGGCAGAAGAAGAGATTGGATTTATACCCCACCCTTCACTCGGAGTCTCAGAGCGGCTTACAATCTCCTTCCCCTTCCCCTCCCCACAACAGACACCCTGTGAGGTAGGCGGGGCTGAGAGAGCTCTCGAGAGAGAACAGCTCTGAGAGAATTTGTGACTGACCCAAGGTCACACCAGCAGCTGCAATTGGAGGAGTGGGGAATCAAACCCGGTTCTCCCAGATTAGAGTCCGCGCTCCTAACCACGACACCAAACTGGCACTGTACCTCTGTATCCTGGCCTCTTTCTTTTCACACACCCCACCTTCTGACTGGGATATAAAGACTTAAAGATCTCCGTTCCTATTCGTATCTGAGCATTTCCCCTCTGCTCTAATCAAGCTGATTACAATAGAAAAAGAGGGGGCAGAAGAAGAGATTGGATTTATACCCCACCCTTCACTCGGAGTCTCAGAGCGGTTTACAATCTCCTTCTCTTACAATCTCCTTCCCCTTCCCCTCCCCACAACAGACACTCTGTGAGGTAGGCGGGGCTGAGAGAGCTCACCTGAGAACCGCTCCTGAGAGAACAGCTCTGAGAGAACTTGTGACTGACCCAAGGTCACACCAGCAGCTGCAAGTGGAGGAGTGGGGAATCAAACCCGGTTCTCCCAGATTAGAGTCCGCGCTCCTAACCACGACACCAAACGGGCACTGTACCTCTGTATCCTGGCCTCTTTCTTTGCACACACCCCGCCTTCTGACTGGGATATAAAAACTTAAAGATCTCCGTTCCTATTCGTATCTGATGAAGGGAGCTTTGGCTCTTGAAAGCTTCTACTCTGAAAATATTTTCTAGCTGTTCTCCAGCAGAGCAACACTGCTACCCTCTGAAATTTGTTTCTGTGGGTCTTTCTTCCCCATCCCTCATTAGGTCTGTGGTGTTGTTTTGCTCTCATCCGTCAGAATTTCCCCCCCAGGGTCTGACTCAGATTCTTGTGGCGGCCCCTGTCCCAGCTGTCAGCAGTCTTTTCTCCAGGTTGGCATGCTGTGAAGGACACGGCAGGGAAGCCAAGATCTTGCTCGGTTTTGACAGAGGAAAGCCGGCGAAGAGTTTCAGCCCCTACTCTTAATTCTAAATAGCTTCTACACTTGGAATCATCGAGTTGGAAGGGACCTCCAGGGTCACCTAGTCCAACTCCTGCACTGTGCAGGAAATTCACAAATACCTACCTCCCCCCCCCACACACACACTCACCCAGTGGCCCCTGTTCCTTGCCCAGAAGATGGCAAAAAAACCCACCAGGATCTCCAGCCAAACGTCACCCTTTGGCTTTCCTCTGCTCATCTCCGCAACTGGATTAAAGGCCATATTTTGCTCCTACAACTTGGGAAGACCTGGGTTCAAGTCCACACCCAGCTGTGAAGCTCAGTGGGTGACGGCGGGCTAGACACTCCCCCTCAGACATTATCTTCCTCCCCAAATGGTTGTGAAGATAAAGGAGGGAGTGTGCTTCCTTTTTCCGCATTTTGAGCCGATTCCTCTCCAGAGTGTGTGTGTGACATCATGGGTATACAACGAGGAACTGAAATTTAATATTCTGCCTTGTGTTTTTTCTTCCTTGCCGTTGCGGTGGTGGGAGACGCCCTCAAGCCACGGCTGACTTACGGCGACCCCATCTGGCTTCCAAGGCAAGAGGCATTCAGAGGTGGTTGGCCATGGCCTGCCTCTGTGTAGCAACCCTGGACTTCCTTGGGGGTCTCCCACCCAAGTACTAACCAAGGCTGACCTTGCTTAGCTTCTGAGATCTGATGAGACGGGGCTAGTCTGGGCCTTCCGGGTCAGGGCAGAGGTGGTTTGCCGTCGCCTGCCTCTGCATAGCAACCCTGGGCTTCCTTGGTGGCCTCCCACCCAAGTACTCGCCAGGGCCGACCCTGCTTTGCTTTCAAGATCTGATGAAATCGGGCCGGCCTGGGCCATTGAGTTCAACCAGCAACTGAAATAAGGAGCCTGAGGATGTGCCCACCAGGCAGATAACCAGTGTTCCCTCTAAGCTGAGTGAGTGTGAGCTAGCTCACAGCTTTTTAGCCTCCGGCTCACACATTTTTGTCTCAGCTCAGGGAGGACGGCTCCAGAGCAAACTAATTGATGCAGCAGCCAAATCGCTCACTTGCCACTTAAATGCCAGCCGCTCACAAAGTAGAATTTTTGCTCACAAGACTCCACAGCTTAGAGGGAGCATTGCAGATAACCGTATCAGATTTCTTTCTGATGAAACTGTATGCGTAGAACGATATCCCAAACGGCTGCTGGTTTGCTGTGAACTCCCTTTGTGGTTTTTAGTTTCATTGTTTCAGCACAATTATTCGATATTTACTCAATATTCTCTTTGTAAGATGCCACGAGTGCTTTTTAAGAGGAAGGGTAGGACGTGAACCTTAGACACAAATAAATCAAGTCCTTGTGGATTTGGGTTTGTTTGTTTTTTTAAAATTGTGCAGAGTTGCATGTTAAGCTTTCGCTCTGTGTTCATCCACGGAAGCCATCCTGGCATTTGACACAGCGGTATAAATTTCTCACGTGGTGGTAACTTGATTCATAAAGCTGATTCAGGTTCTTAAGGCTGGGTGTTACCTTCTGGAGCCACCTAGGTTAACATGGCCCCACTGGCGGACCTCCTGATGGCCCCTGGTGTTTTTGGCCACTGTGTGACAGTGTTGGACTGGAGGGTCCATTGGCCCGATCCAGCATTGGCTTCTCTTATGTTTGTGTGGATGCCCTCGTTCTTCAAGTTGTGCGAATTTGAGGATTACGGGTTTTCTTCCCCCCCCCCCCAAATCTCAAAATCGAAGAAGACTTTGTGGATCTGCGTTTGCTTGTGTCAGTTGCTTCAGTGAATAATGCCAGACATGTGAGGCTGTCTTATACGGTCTTATACGTATCTGAAGAAACGTGCCCGCACGCAAAAGATTATGCCTTGAATAAAACGTTGTTGGTCTTAAAGGTGCCCCCTGGACCCAAACTTTGTTGTGCTGCTTCAGGCCAACACGGCTACGGCCCCCACCTGAATTTATACTAGCCCTGGGTGCTAAATGCCTCTGTGCAGTTTTTGTTGTTGTTCAGTCGCACAGTCGAGTCCGACTACAACTTTCATGCCAGTCGCTCAGAGAGGAGAATTTTTGCTCACAAGACTCCAGCGCTTAGAGGGAACATTGCCCTGGACCCAAACTTTTTTCTCCTGCTTCAGGCCAACACGGCTACCCCACCTGAATTTATACTAGCCCTGGGCGCTAAATGCCTCTGTGCGGTTAGTCAGCGCATATTGGGGGGGGGGGAAGATGAGCCTGCTGGGATCCCTTCTCATTGGGTGGCCAAAGTATTTGAGCTTCAGCTTCATTATCTGGCCTTCCAGGGAACAGTCAAGGTTGATTTCTTTTAGGATTGACTGATTTGATCTCCTTGCAGTCCAAGGGACTTTCAAGAGTCTTCTCCAGCACCATAGTTCAAAAGAATCTATTATTCGGCGCTCGGCCTTCCTTATAGTCCAACTCTCGCAGCCGTACATGACTACTGGGAATACCATTGCTTTGACCATGCGGGCTTTTGTTGGCAGGGTGATGTCTCTACTTTTTATTATTCTGTTTAGGTTCGCCATCGCTTTCCTCCCTAGGAGCAGGCGTCTTTTAATTTCATGGCTGCTGTCACCGTCTGCGGTGATCTGGGATCCCAGGAACGTGGAGTCACACGGCTACTCCACCTGAATTTATACTACCCCTGGGCGCTAAATGCCTCTGTGCGATTAGTCAGCGCATATTGGGGCGGGGGGGGGGGGAGCTTGCTGGGCCTGCACACTGCTTCCACAGAATTCACTGCTTGTGAGCATGGTGCGTACCCATGAGGATCCTGTAGTGCACACACATGCTTCCTCTCTGTGACCGGGAACGTTTGGGAAGTAGCGTCCCTCAGGTCGTCTGGTAATTGGGAGTGTTCAGTTTCCTGACACCTTTTTTGCAACGGGCTTCGGGGTAGGAGGATTGAGTGGAGGAGGCTCGGTGAGCAGTGGGTTCCCTTCCACCCCTGTGATGTAAACGCTTTGTTAGGAGGACAGGAGGGCAAATAAGTGTCTCTGACCATGACGTTTCCTTCGTTGGGATTTTCAAGCCAGCTAACCCAGGGATGTGTTTTGTCTCTGCAGGTTACAGCCAAGACTGCCTTCTTGTTTATCTTACCTCAGTATAACGTTAGTGTGCCTACAGCAGGTGAGTAACCCTATGAGTAACCCAAGAGCAGCTACTCCTCCTCCTCCTCCTCTTCTGGTATTTTTTATATTTTGTGTGTGTGTGTGCACCTGGAAGTCATGGTGACCGACCCCTACTAGGGGCCTGCAGGATATTCAGAGAGGTGGCTGAATAAAGCCTGCCCCCACCTCCCAACTCTGGTATTCCAAGGAAGTCTCCCTTCCAAGTACTAACCGCAGTAGTTTCCAAGATCTGACGAGATCCGGCTTGCCCAGGCTATCCAGGTCAGGGCAAAAGCACGTCTTCTCGATGACCCGTGGACAAGAGGTCCGGCAGGCAGGTTCCGGCCCTCTACTGGGTCATAATCCTACCTCCGATGCATCATCGGAATGTTGGGACCACCATTTTGTTTTTTAAAAGAGCCGCGGAGATCCATATCCCAAACAATGCTGGAGGGGGAGCCAATCCAATATTAAGGTCAACGGTCGTTAGGCAATACCTGCTGACCATGGCCGTTGCCTGCCACTGCTTGGACTGGTGACAGGAAATGTTGTTGTTGTTTTTATGCTGGCGTTGTTTGTGGTGGAATTCACTTCTGGGTACAACCTGTGACAGTGAGTAGCTCTAGGAATTTCCGGAAGCCCGATAGTTCTAACATAAGAGTTCCTGGCGATGTCTAGAGCCAGGGGTCATTTCCTGCAGGAGCGCACAGGAGCGGAGCTCCGGCAATAAAGAGCCCAGGGGGCGGGCACATGCAACAAGCCCCACCCCCTGCTCCCAGCAGCCCTCAGTCAGAGCAAGAAGCAGCCAGGTAAGTTGCAGAGCCCGTCCCCCGTCCCCCAGTCCAAAACAGTCCAGTGGCACCTTTATGACCAAGGTTTATTCAGGTACAAGCTCTCCCTCCTCTGTGACGACAGATCTGCAGTCTCTCCCCCCCCCCAATAGCTAGCAATCCAAAACAGTTCAGTGGAGCCTGAGCGGTGGGTGTTGCCTTCTGACACACGTCCGGTGATGTCAGGGGGTGTGGCACATGCAAATAAGTTATGCTAATGGGTTATGCTAATGAGCTCCTGCACCTCTTTTTCTACGAAATGACCCCTGCCTAGAGCTACGCATTGTCACTTCTGGGTGGTACCTAGAAGTGAGGTAGTGAATCCGCCCACATCACACATACCCATTCCCTACCCACCCCCCCCTGGTCCTCTCACTGGTTGCCAGGCGCGGCCTAGCAACACTAGTTGGGCATCTGTTGGGCCTTGCCATCTTTCAGAGCCCCTGGAATCATTTAAAATTATTTTTATTTAGCATGCGTGTGTAAGAGAGCTAAGGGAAGGCCTCTCGTCACAGGCTGGCTTCTGCATAGAACATAAGAGAAGCCCATGTTGGATCAGGCCAGTGGCCCATCCAGTCCAACACTCTGTGTCACACGGTGGCCAAAAATACCAGGTGCCCTCAGGAGGCCCAGCAGTGGGGCCAGGACACTAGGAGCCCTCCCACTGTTGCCCCCCACCCCAAGCACCAAGAATACCGAGCATCACCTGCCCCAGACTGTAGGTGTGGGTCCGGGCAGTTAGAACAGCTGACAGGGGTGGTCTGCGTCCCATTTCTGGCCCCATCACCAGTGAGAAACTGTCCAGTGTTTGGGCCAAGAGGAAGCCAGGCTTGGAGGCCTCTCTGCCCTAGATTTGTGTGCTCCGAGTGGCAGAGACGGTTCGGGGTTCAAGCAGCTCTCCCCAGCCTCTCCAAGCAATCGATCGGGGTGACGTAGAGGAAACTTTCTCTCCTGACCCAGATATCCCCTTCTAAGCTACTGTAAGAGGCTCAAACAAAGCAGTTTCTCATTCAGCCTCTGTCTCAAGTTCTCTCAGAGCTGTTCACCTCAAGGGCAGTCCTCGAAGGAGCTCTCTCAGCCCCACCTAGAAAAAGAAGAGAAGAGATTGGATTTATACCCCGCCCTTCACTATCCAAAGGTGTCTCAGAGCGGCTTACAAACTCCTTTCCCTTCCCCTCCCCACAACAGACACCCTGTGTTCCCTCTAAGCTGAGTTAGTGTGAGCTAGCTCACAGTTTTTTAGCCTCCAGCTCACAGATTTTTGTTTTAGCTCAGGAAGGATGGCTCCAGAGCAAACTAATTTATTCAGTAGCCAAATCACTCGCTCACAACTTTAATGCCAGTAGCTCACAAAGTAGAATTTTTGCTCACAAGACTCCACAGCTTAGACGGAACATTGCCTGTGAGCAGTGTTCCCTGTAAGCTGAGTTAGTGTGAGCTAGCTCACGGTTTTTTAGCCTCCGGCTCACACCTTTTTGCCTTAGCTCAGGAAGGAGGACTCCAGAGCAAACTAATTTATGCAGCAGTCAAATTGTTTGCTCACAGCTTTAATGCCAGTAGCTCACAAAGTAGAAGTTTTACTCACAAGACTCTGCAGCTTAGAGGGAACATTGCCTGTGAGGTCGGTGGGGCTGAGAGAGCTCTTGGCAGAAACTGTCCTTTTTCAAGAACAGCTCTTATCAGAACTACGGCTTGCCCAAGGTCATCCAGCCAGGTCCAAGTGGAGGAGTGGGGAATCAAATCTGGTTCTCCCAGATTATAGTCTGCGCACTTAACCACAACACCAAACTGGGTCTCACAGTGTCTGTTGTGTGGAAGGGAAATGGAGATTGTAAGCCGCTCTGAGACTCTTGAGTGAAGGGCGGGGTATGACTCCAATCTCTTCTCTCTTCTCTCTCTCCCACGAAAGCAGAAAGCTCTCCCTTGTCTGGTCCCCCATCCCGGTTCTGCTATCTTCCTGAGAGGTGTTTTTGCTGTCAGAGGGATTTATGCTACTGTAGGCACACAGCAGTGTTGCAATAGAACGAGCTGAGCAGATGGGGGGGGGGGAGGTGGGCTCCCGCTCCGGACAGGTCGAGGGCCACCATGGCCGCCCCACCAGCGGCTGCTCCCTGGGTTTTCCATTAACTGGGCTTGTGAAATAGCTGCGACAAGCAGCCTTCACATGACTCTGGAGTAGGCAGACTGCTTTTCGTTCCATCGAATTTACCCACCGGTTGCCGAATGTCCTCCGGCTACATGCAGTGAAGCCATTAAAGCAGTGGTGGCAAACCTACGGCACGGGGGCCAGAGGTGGCACTCAGAGCCCTCTCTGTGGGCACGCGTGCCATCGCCCCAGCCAGGCCCAGACCATCATTAAAGTGTCGAATTCTCTGCCAAATAATTTTAAGTAAATGAAAGCATTTGGGATTG